TGTTGAGCACATTTTATGTACAGAAAGCTTAAGGGTTGAGTGACAGATTCAGTCGAATTTTCGGTCATCCGGAATTCAGTTCGAAGAAGAATCCAGAAACCACATTATTCATCCGCATCATCACAGATCACAGATTGGATTAGTGCTTGTTTGCGTAGCTTATTCATTCGCTTTTGATGTGACCGACTTTTTCTGTGCGCACGCCAGTCTTCCAAGCGTGAGAACATACGATTGCAGCAGGCTGTACAGATAAAGGGTGGACCGTCACCCAAATCCTCGTCAACAGTAGGATCGGTCTCGGAGATAAACGGGCACGGCTGTGGTACTTGATCGGCGGAACAGAGAGCCAACAACGTGTTCAATCGCTCATACTGTAGATCATGCACGGCTAGGCCGGTACCGGAACGAGTCAGATGATTGTGGACAACACGGACGGCGGGAGCGAGGACAAGGCGATCCCAGTCCGCTGTGCCAGACGGACATTCTGAGAGCAGGATTTCTGTGACCGGAATTCGATAAACCGGGAGACCACCAGTAGCAGGTCGGCGAAGGAATCGATTAGTGATCCAACGAACCTACGAGGAACAAAAGCAAGTGGTCTGACTGGAGTTCGAGCACGATGTGGAGAAGTATAAATTGCTGAATTGTGGAAATTACAATATATAATTGAAACCATCTACATGGTTCAACTTCTCCACAACTTGTGCGCTATGTGCAGTTCAAAGCGATATCCACCGAATAAAGTGACTGAGACGGCTTGGATGCGACTACTTTCTCTCGAAACAGCTGTCGTCTTCCGGTGATTCAACCTGCGCACTTTAACTGCCTAGTTTCATTTTACGTAGAAGGGACTATTCAGCAACGGCTCTGTTATTTGGTACTGTCAGACTGGTTGACTGTGGGCCAAGAAATATGCTTAACCGCACACTCCACTAACGCCTCTTCTTGGTACATGCGCATTGGCAGTCACTGTACCCTGTCTGGAGCAAAAGAACAGACAATCAGTTTCACTGTATATCTCGAAGGCATTTGATGGAGTTCCGCACTGCCCATGTTCAGGTTCTCTAGGGTTCTCGTATAGCAAGACTACGTCTTGAGGTGGTGGATGGTTTTCGTATCTGATGACACAGAGAGCTATACATGACGGCTTCTCAAAACGGCAGATCCAAGTATGTCTTAAGATTAAATGGTTTGGGGCCAGACAAAGCCCAGTGTGAAGAGACTAGTTGGGTATCTCCTGGATTTCTCTGACTATCAACTCTCACTTTTGAAGAGGTCAATCCGGATAAAGGTATACCGAACAACGTGAAAGTGGTCGACTTCCTTAGATTACCTTGGTTGGCGAATATATTGTGCATGTCACTAAACAGGTTGCCAAGCCAAGCGACGTTTGTCGAAACAGGCAATGTGCGACAAGAATTAAAGGTCGGTCAAACCAAGACCTGCCACGAGGGTATGAAAACGCTGACAATGAGACTTGCTCAGACAAGTCACGTTACGGTTTTCTAGTGGGGAAATACGGATCAGCATTACTGATGGCTGTGTCGTAAACAGTGGAGCAAACTAAGATGCGTAGGTCCTACTGTTGCAATGTGCTACTCGCACTTGAGAGCAGTTTGCACACACCCTTTAATTGAATTCCCACGGAATTCAGGAGTGCATTAAACGATTTACCTTTGTAACTACAGAAAAGCGGCATCTAATGTCGAACAGTCCATTAACTGTCCTTTTTGCT